CTTCAACTTCCTTCAAACTGCATGCAGAGCAGAGGATGTGAGTGGAGCGAGTAGCGGAGCGTGCGTAATTTCGCAGGAGCATATTGTAAAAATGCTCAGGCACCGCTCAGCCACAAGCTCTGTGCATGCTCTGCCCAGCATTTATTTCCTTTATCACTGTTCTTTTAATTAGACATATTCGGTTGTATTTATTTAGCCTATCCCACCACTAATGAGCAGAGATGTTGATATGAGTCAACCAAGAAATAGGTCACACAACCTGTGTAATTGATAGCAAGACAACGAATGAGCACATGTAGTAGCACCGGAGACATTTATATTTTTATATAGACTATTATTTAAAAAATAAGAGGAGTGTAAGTTTGGAACAGTGCTAAAGAAAGTTGTCTATCAACTGTAAAATGTGAGCACAACAGAGCCACAGTTACAACTGAAGAATCTGATCATCAATTGACTAGAGAAAAAGCAAGTATTTTTTTTACACAGCAGCCGCATATCATCAGGTAGGTCCTTGTTTAATAGCCTGCCCTACGACATGTTGTTGAAATGTTGAAGCTTCTTACGATAGCCTACTTCAAAACCAAATGGTACCTAGTTACAAAAGTAGATGGGGTGTTTGTTAAATAATCTTTCTTTGATCTTTATTTTTGTGGAGTGTGGAAAGGACATTGAGCGCTGGTGCGGTGCGCAAAGACCACAACTCTGCTCACATACTCTGATGCAGAGACATAAAAATGGTATCCATGAGTTCATCTGATTCTGGGTTTTAAAAATAAGGGCTTAATTGCCAAAATCTTGAACTATCACTTTAAGAAAAAAAACAATTGTGTGACAAACTTGTCATTCTTGTGCAAATAAAATGGATGACTAAGTCAAACATATGCATGCAGAACAAGGTATTGTTAAGGTAGCCTACTCCACACTAAGACAAAGGAATGACACACTAGTGCATTCATTGTCTTAATAAGAAGTATAGGACAAGACACCGCCAAACACTTCTGATCGACCTTTCACACATTGTAATATTTGTTTGTTCTAAGGTTGGCATTTGTGGTATGTGAGGCAAGATTTGTATTTTTGCTCCAGGAGGTGCCAATGCAAACCGCTATGGGAAATTGATTTATTTTGTATTTTATCTGAAATAATGACTTGCATTCATCAGGGAAGGGTTCTCAAGGGTTCTACTATAGCAATAAATACATTGTAACTTATTTTACAAGGTGAAAAAGTATTTAAATACATTAAAAAGGAAACATTAAAACATGGCCCAACTTTACCAAAAAAGTGAAGGCCCACTATTGAAAGAGCAATGCAACTATTTATTCATTTAAGCTTGCTGTTGTTTATTATAGCACTTAAAGCAATCTCTCTGGCCTAATATTTTTTTTATTTTTTTTATTTTACCTTTATTTAACTAGGCAAGTCAGTTAAGAACAAATTCTTATTTACAATGACGGCCTACACCGGCCAAACCCGGACGACGCTGGGCCAATTGTGCGCCGCCCTATGGGACTCCCAATAACGGCCGGTTATGATACAGCCTGGAATCAAACCAGGGGGTCTGTAGTGACGCCTCAAGCACTGAGATGCAGTGCCTCAGACCGCTGCGCCACTCGGGATACTGTACACTTATCCAAACTACATTTGGACAATTAATTTAGAATTAAAGGCACATGCTTTTTATTAGAATTACTGGAGACTGAAAACACAATTGTAACAAAAGTATTTGAGCAAATGTATGGCCATCAGAGGGCAGATATTAAAAGGGAGTTAAAAAGTTAAATAAATTATTTTAATTTCATAGCTACATACATGTATGCCTGAGTTCAACAGCACTTTGCACGAAGGTGGTCAAATATGGCAAAAACTATATAGTAAGAAAAAGCTAGCTCCAAATTATGTTTTTGTAAGCATTTTCTTCAGGGAGTATATTTTTTAATTGAGCTTCCTCAAATGACCTGCTATGATTTATAACATGATAATATGACAGCATGTAGGCTACAATTAAGACTTCAGAATGGATAGCCACAGGGAAAACCAACAGAACAATATTTGATTTCAATAATTTCCGTGCCATCGAGTAGCCGTGCAGCTTTTAAAATAGCGGAGACTCCCTTTGGCGCATGAAAATGTGTACATAAACCACTTTTTGCATTTATTTGTAAATACCCTGTGTAATTAAATAGCTGTGCAGAGACTTTTGAATATGTGCTAGAGGATGGGAAATACATGCATCCAAAATGACACCAAGCATTACATATATTATGAGGACAGTCACTAAGGTGAGGATGTTTGTAAAACATTCTTACATCTTAAAACCAAAGTTTAGCCTACTGTCTGTATTCAATGTTTTAAATGTGTTAAATTGAACGCAGTATAGGTGTCACATAAGTTCAGTGATGCAGGCTCTATAATTTTTTGTTTTAAAGGATAAGGTAACTTTTTTTTAACCAAATCTGTATTTTGGATATAAATGACATGTTATAGAAGTGCCATGACACTTCTTTTTGCGATTTCACTTGGTTTTGAGAAACGTACGCCACCAGCGATATAATTCCTCGAGCTCATTCAGCAATTGCAGGGGCATGAGAACACATGAACAAAGGCTCCCACACCTAACAACTTTTATTTATTTATTTTATTATATGAACAAGAAATATTCCACTTTATTTGGAACGGCAAGCCAGACTAAATTAAACGGGCCTATTTATATAATGAATATGAATTCGGAGGGCAGAAATGACAAAATATTAAAGCATTGGACCTCTCACTAAAGGCTTCAGTCATACAAAAACTATACTTAAATCCGAACTAGTACTCTAACAGATTAGTACGAATGGCTCACCCAGTGTTCAAGAATGGCCTTTTTCCCTTCATTCACATTACAACCTCTCACTTTCGGTTATTTGAAAATGAAATCATATCCAAAATGTCTCTATTTTTAAAGCAAGCAATAGAAAGCTGGTTGAAATTTCAGTTTAATCCACCAGAAAAGACAGAACAAATATTAGAACAAATATTATGGTTAAACTCAAATATACTTATTGAAAAATAAATATATAATTTTGTAAAAAATATTTTAAATGGTATAATCTTTGTAAAATATATCATAAATAGGACTGGTGATGTCACACATGTAGTTAACTAAAATATATGGGAATGTGTGCTCTATCCAAAATTACAACCAACTGATTGCAGCATTACCGCAAAAATGGTGGAGGCAAGTGGTAAGGGGAGAAAGTAAGAAACTTGTCTGTCAGCCCTGCATTAAAGACCAAAATTGGCTAAAGAAAATTGTGATAAATAAAAAAGTACATCAGTTTAATTTTGGACCAAAAAATTGACAGCTGCGCCATACAGGTTGCAAAATAGTTTGGAGGAGATTTTCGATGTACCGATTCCATGGCACATGGTCTATGAACTGGTACACAAAACGACACCGGATTGAAAACGTAGAGTTTTTCAATGAAAAATATTTTTGCAACCAATATAATGTTATATATATCAGGGATACAAAAATCCCAGCTTTGCAGATTTTACTGCGAAGAGACAGAATCATTAGATCACTTGTTTTGGTACTGCCCATATGTAGCTTGTTTTTGGTCGCAGGTTCAGGAATGGCTGAAAAATTGCAACATTTACTTGGAGCTAACTCTGCAAATAGCACTGCTGGGTGTTTGAACAGTCATAGTCAATCGATCAATAATATAATAATACTCTTTGCAAAGGTGTTTATCTTTTATTTACAATCTGTAGAAACTATGAGAATAGAAAGGTTCAGAACTTTTGTGAAACATCACAGCGGAAAAATATATGGCAGCTAGAAATCAAAACTGGATGGTCTTCAGAGAGATGGGAGGTGTTGAAGGTAGCTGAAGGCTGGGACTAAAAACAAGCAAAAGATAACTAATATAAAATATATTGTCCATGAAATTGATGTAGTATGTATAAGCTGGAAGTGGAAGCTTAAGTATTGTTGTCCATTACTTTACTCCAATTAGAGGATGGTTGGTAGGATTAGGGGAAAATAATAAAGAAGGGAAAAATATTTGTACAAATATTTTAAATAACATATATATTTACCAAAATAAATATATGGGGGATTGGAAATGATGCAGACAATTACATTGATAGAAGCCACAATATATCTGCAATATTAAAACTGATCTCAAATACGCCCTGAAACGGCAACACTCTCAGTATAGTGACTTTATGCGCAACATTACATTCTCGAGCTATACTTCTCTGTGTAGCCCGCACATGGAAAACTATAGCTCGAGTCACACAACACAGAATATAACGTTGCAGATAATGTTTGGAATGACAACATTTTATGTGTACAACATCTAAAGACCTGCATCACTATACTGAGAGCGTTGTCGTTTCTAAAAGGACGTATTTGGGTGTTTTTAGAGCCTTTGTTCATGTTTTATCATGCCCCTACAACTGCTGAACAAACATGAGGAAGTATATCGCTGGTGGGGTACGTTTCTCAAAACCAAATTAAATCACAAAAAAAAGGTGTCTCTGCACTTTTTTAACATGCCATTTACATCCAAAATACAGATTTGGTTAAAAAAAAGGTTAACTTGTCCTTTAATACCTTTATTCATGTATGTAGTAATATAACCTGCCCAGTAGATGACAAGGTTTACGCATATTCAAAGCACCGATAATCTAGATTCTGTGACCTTGACATTTTTATATGTAGATCAGAATGGGCCTATCCTACCTATTTCAGAAAAACTGGCCAAACAAAAATTGGTCGGATTTATATGATCCTGGATTGCAAAATAAGGGATTACAGAATCCGTATAATTCTGATCAAGATTAAATGTTTTGAAAAACCGGGTCCAGAAGATACAATATTGAGCTTGCTTCATTGGAAAAGCTGTGAGAAAAAATACATTTTGTCAATTTGTATGATTTAATTTTATATATGTTAGGCATTCAAACATTTTAATTAGCTCAATTTCCCTTGAGGACATTTTAAGTCCAGGATAAACCATATTAAAAAGTATGGTGCCTATAAAGACACTCAAGTGCCTTCGCACTTAAAATTGGGGTTCTGTGGGTACTTTTACATTTAGTGTCTGTTTTGGCAAGTAATAAGTACTACCATAAGTTTACTCAACAACAATAGGGGTCTCGCTCTTTTGAACCGTGCAACATAACTCATTTCTTTTTAGATGCTCCACCTTCTACCCTGCTCTGCAGGTACTTATCCAGCTCTGCCTGTCTCTTCACAGCTTCTTGCGAGATCTTGGGAGCACCAGGGAAGCACACCAGCACCACACTCATGTTGTCCCGGCTTCCCTGTTCAGAGAGGGGAGTTAAGCAGAGAGGAAATGCAAGTTATGCATTTTGCAATAAAACATACTTTTGTAAAAACTCTGATGTGATGCTCATTTGCGTGGATTTACATGGACATACTGTATGTTGCATGAACAAAATCATAGACGTATCTTGAATGCCTTTAATTTACCCTTCACCAAGCCCTGGCCCAGAATTTTGGCCAACCAATCGCAGCGCTCTAATGGATAGCAACTGTCGTCGAGTCTGACACCTTGGACAAGGTCACGTTTGAATCGCATGAAAGCCAGTGAGGGCTATGGCAAAAAAGGCATTTTCTTCAAAACATGTATGTTTAAATGGCTAAATAATTGAACAGTGCACCAGGAGTACTTGCTACAGTGATTCCTGAAATGCAGAGCCTGTTGGAGAACTTTTCGAATCCGAAATTGTACATTTGTTACATTGTTTGCTAGCTCAGCTGGTTAGCTGGTCTCATTGACCACCAAACGTTGATACGCTAGCTAGCCACTTAATATAACTTGTTTTCTCCAAATGTTAGCTAGCTAAGTTAGCAATGTTATGAATACATCTCCCATCTGCTATCGGCATCAGAATACGATTTGAGAGCACTAGTTAGCTCCAAAAGTGGTTATAGCTTTCAATGCATGCTGACAGGGAATTAAGAGCCATTCAGTGGCTAGTTACACTACAAACATAATTTTACCAAGTTCCCGTGAAGCAATTTTAATGACAGTCCACCACATAATACCCAAGAGTTTCCTGATTAGCAAGGGTTAGTTTGCGTTTAATTTAATTGTGTATTAGAAACACAGTTTGAGATCATTGCGAGGGGATTTCACCAGTGCTTGAATGGGGAATTGGGCTTCCCGGGAAAATGTTGTCCGAGGTTGCAACAGTAACCAAGGGGGGCGGGCCTTAGCGAAAGGTCAATTAAGAACTCCAGATTGTAATAAATTCAAGGCATATATTAAATATACAGCACATCAAATGTTCTAACAGATCATTCAAAACTTTAGTCAAACACCAAGACAATGATTTTAAATTGGATTTGTGTGGGGAGGAATACACATTTAAATGAGAAAGGTCATAGAATTGGGATTGAAAGCGGGGTTAACACCCCTACTCTTGCGACAAGTGCCATGGGATCTTTAGTGAAGAGTGCCGCCTGCGGGCTCTCCAACACTACTTCCAACAGCATTGGGTCTCCCGTCCTAGGATTGACAAGGCCCAACGCTGCTTAGCTTCAGAGCCAAGACAGCAGTGGGATGCAGGGTGGTATGGCTGCTGGACATCCAATTTGATATCTGATATAAAGTCTTTAAATTGAAGCTGGCTAACACTTGAATTTATCTTGATCTGTGCTTGACTGTCTGGCTGATTTACAATCATTATTTAACTGAGCCATTTACACTGAACAAAAATATAAACGCAACATGTAAAGTGTTGGTCCCATGTTTCATGAGCTGAAATAAAAGATCCCAGAAATATTCCATATGCACAAAAAAGCTTATTTCTCTCCAATGTTGAGCACAAATGTGTTTACATCTCTGTTAGTGAGCATTTCTCCTTTGCCAAGATAATCCATCCACCTGACAGGTGTGGCATATCAAGAAGCTGATTAAACAGCATGCTCATTACACAGGTGCACCTTGTGCTGGGGCAAAAAAAGGCCACTCTAAAATGTGCAGTTTTGTCACACAACACAATGCCACAGATGTCTCAAGTTTTGAGGGAGTGTGCAATTGACATGGTGACTGCAGGAATGTCCACCAGAGCTGTTCCCAGAGAATTGAATGTTAATTTCTCTACCATAAGCCACCTCCAACATTGTTTCAGAGAATTTAGCAGTACGTCCAACCGTCCTCACAACCGCAGACCAGGTGTATGGCGTTGTGTGGGTGAGCGGTTTGCTGATGTCAATGTTGTGAACAGAGTGCCCCATGGTGGCAGTGAGGTTATGGTATAGGCAGGCATAAGCTACGGACAACGAACAAAATAGCATTTTATCAATGGCAATTTGAATGCACAGATACCGTGATGAGATCCTGAGGCCCATTGTGAGGACAATTTAATTTTTTAAGGTATCTGTGACCAACAGATGCATATCTGTATTCCCAGTCATGTGAAATCCATAGATAAGGGCCTAATGAATATATTTCAATTGACTGATTTCCTTATATGAACTGTAACTCAGTCAAATCTTTGAAATTGTTGCATGTCACGTTTATATTTTTGTTCAGTATACTAAAAAACAATACAGTCTGCAGCAAATCACATAGCAGTTTTGTAGTTGAGTCACTAAACCTCGAGTCGAGTCCCAAGTCCAAGTCGAGTCACCAATGGTCGAGTCATGAGTCCAGTCACGAGTCCAGTTAAGAGTCCCTGTTGGCTGAAGTCCAGTCCCAGTGCTCGAGTCCTGGTCCAAGTGCTCAAGTCTGAGTGACTGGGTCTGAGTTTTGAAGTTCGATGTGGTTCCGGTCTCTTCTATTCTTTCTGTTACATATTTGACATCTGTTGAAAAACTTTTGAAAGCAAAACTAATGATTTGGGGTTCTTTAGACATATTTGGTATTTTGGTTACTGTTGTTTTATTGCTCGCTCATACTGCCGGCTCACTGGCTCGATGCTCGTCTGGTGCTAGATTCGCGCCTCTATTGATTTGGCTCGGATTTGGTAGAAGAAATCTGCCCAGAACTTACTAGTATCTGGCTGGCAGGAAGATTTTCATGAAAGCATTGAAGTAAGGCAAATATTTTCCTCCTGTTGGCCAATGGTCATAATTGCCTGCAATATGCAATAGTTTATAAAACAAATAAGTCCTTCATACACAGGCTCACGCACATTTTATTTTAAAATAATGTTCAATAGTTATGTCAAATCAGTAATGATGTTTTGAAGGGATGAATGGTCTCATTTACCAGATTACTATTTACAATAATTCTAACATGCTATCAGCTACTTTTTGTAATCGGCCACTGATATTTGAGTATGTTTTTTAATGCAGAGGGAAAACTAACAGGAGACTTGTCAGAAACTGGCTATGGGATGCAGGTGCCAAATTGGGAGGGTAGAGCGAGACAACAAATTCAAAGACAGCCTACTTTTCTATACTCAAGGGGAGAAAGAGAAAAATAGACTGTTGTTTTACTATTAAACTCAATACTATTGTTTCAATTTCGTTAAAAAAAATGTTTCTTAACCAGGCAAAGGTAAATAGTAGTAGGCTGGTGACTGGTGGTTTCGGGGAAGCAAAAGAGTCGCTTGCGTAATGTGTAGCCTTTGATCGAAGGCGGAGCGGAGACTGCCAGTCTGCAAACACACATTGATTGCTTGCCCCCAGCTCACCAGCTGATGTAGGCTGTGTGTGTCGGGTCCTTCCCACTGCTAGAGAACAGAACCCTCACTGCACCCAGTGGTGCTAATATTCTGCTTATCATAGTAGCCTATCCAGTCCAAGAGCAAATACAAGTGACATGAAGTCATGAAAATCCTGGGAAAATCCTGGACTCGAGTACTACAACACTGGCACATAGTGTTCCATCTCTGTTCATCTGGGAAATATGCTGTAGTAGCCAATTCAACAGCAAAGCACACTTAAGTAGCCTATTCAGATCTCCCCTCCATTGTAAAATCTTATCTAGCTGACCTTACCTTGTATAAACATGTGTCAACAATCTCATTGCACACTCTCTCCAAGTCCTCTGTCACCTCTAGACGTAAACGCACAAAGTCACATAGCTCCTCATTGGCCATCACGTCCCAGATGCCATCACACGCCAACACAACAAACTCGTCCTCCGCCTCAGATCTTTCAATCTCATACACTTCTGGCTCAGGCGACACTAGCTGCTCTGTGGGGCCCTTGCCATGCACACATTTATAGTCAAAGTCACCAAGGGCCCGTGACACAGCTAGCGAGCCATTAACACGTTGAATCATGACAGAGCCACCGGCATTCTGGATGCGCTCCTTTTCCAGTGGATTGCTGGGCTTGTGATCCAGCGTAAAGAAATGGAGCCGACCTCGCCTGCTGAGAAGGGCCCGCGAGTCGCCACAATTGATGAAGTACATGTGGCGAGGTGAGATCATGACTCCCACTGCAGTAGAGCCGCTGCGGTCCGCACCATGCTTACGCTCCGAGATGGCTCGCATCTGCTCATCAATATGCAGGAAGCCAGTGCGAATGCCACTCTTCACGCTCTCCACAGATGGCTCGTGTCCATGCCTGTCCAGAATTACCCTGCCCTCCTCTTCTCCACCTCCTGGTCCTGCACCCCCACCCCTGAAATCTGGGTTGCTGATGATGTGCTCTAGCAAGTGCTCGCAGCAGTAGCGGGCCACCTGAGAGCCAGCATGGCCGTCATACACGGCAAAAAAGGACCAGGGGTTGAGGCCATGGGGCAGGCCAATGACAGCTGTGTGTGTATCCTCCATCTCTACCCGCCAGCCCTGCATGCTGCTCAGGCCGTAGCGTAGGCCGTTTCCTTCTCCGTGGGCATTGAACTTCTCCATCTTTGGCTTGTCCAAAAATGCCCCCATTTCTATTTTTGGGTAGCTTTATCCTATAAAACGACAACAAGAGAAATGTGCCAATCAATGAAGTTGCCTTTGCAGCACAATCAAAAACATGTAAGTGATCATGTTTCTTCCAAAAACTGTCTAGGCCAGAGGACAGATTTACTTTTGTGGTAGCACAAACTTAATTTCTTCTTTGCCTAAAGGGCAATTACTGCTGAGCTACAACTTGACAGAAAACATCTGTCTAACAATTAACATGCAGTAAACTAAAGCAATAGTTTTAATTTGTGCGCAATGTTAATGCACAGCACAATCACATTCTTGTCTTATTACTGACAGCGTTCTGTAAATCAGACATTCAATTTAACAGTCATTCAACGTTCACGGTAGTCTGATTAAACAGGCTGTAATACACAATTAATTGGTACAGTATATACAGCCTGAAATGAATGCCTGCAAAATCGTATAAATGTTCCTTACAAGCCAGAATGTTGGATACAATTACATTTAAACGTACTCTTCCGGTTGTCTTTGAGGTTTGTCCTTCAGCTGCCCGAAATTTGAGACAAAATATTTACAGGAAAGTATTGTTTACCTGACTTTTTAGAGAGCCAGTTGGTTATATGGTTCAGTTCAGCACCAAGGTTAGTTTTATATTGGATATTTGTTTTCCTCTCGTCAATAGCTATTGAACCAAGCATGCCATGACAATAAAATGTGTATATTCTGAATCAGGGAAGGGTGGAGAACAATCAACACTTTGTTTGTGTGTGAATCTTTCTTTTTTATTCAGATTTCAATCTTCATATTTTCTTTTTTTTCTTTAAAAAAATGTGGATTGTTCTCCATCCTTCCCTGATTCAGAATATACGATTTTTATTGTCATGGCATGCATGGTTCAATAGCTATAGACAGATTAGCTGACAACATCACAAAAATGATGTGAGCGCTGCCAAGGGGCAGAAGTCAGCGTGTTGTGATTCTGGATGGCCAGATTGCTAGCAAGAATGACAAGAAACTGCCATGTGGGGAATCGTAAGTGGCTTGTTTAATCTTGTTATTGATACCATGTCTTGTTTTGAGTTGTTTTGACTGATTTCAGGTCAATGCTAATATGGCTAAAATTCGCTAGCTAGCTAACCAAAAACTGTAACGACGTACACTACATGACCAAAAGTATGTGGACACCTGCTCGTCGAACATCTCATTTCAAAATCATGGGCATTAATATGGAGTTGGTCCCCCTTGTGCTGCTATAACAGCCTCCACTCTTCTGGGAAGGCTTTCCACTAGATGTTGGAACATTGTTGCAGGGATTTGCTTCCATTCAGCAACAAGAGCATCAGTGAGGTTGGGCACTGATGTTGGGCGATTAGGCCTGGCTCGCAGTCGGCCTTCCAATTCATCCCAAAGGTGTTCGGTGGGGTTGAGGTCAGGGCACTGTGCAGGCCAGTCAAGTTCTTCCACACCGATCTCGACAAACCATTTCTGTATGGCCCTCACTTTGTGCATGGGGGCATTGTCATGCTTAAACAGGAAAGGGCCTTCCACAAACTATTCCACAAAGTTGGAAGTACAGAGTCGTCTAGAATGTCATTGTATGCTGTAGCATTAAGATTTCCCTTCACTGGAACTAAGGGGCATAGAGGGAACCATGAAAAACAGCTCCAGACCATTATTCCTCCTCCACCAAACTTTACAGTTGGCACTATGCTTTGGGGCAGGTAGCGTTCTCCTGGCATCCACCAAACCCAGATTTGTCCGTTGGACTGCCAGATGGTGAAGCATGATTCATCACTCCAGAGAACGTGTTTCCACTGCTCCAGAGTCCAATGGCAGCGACCTTTACACCACTCCAGCCAACGCTTGGCATTGCGCATGGTGATCTTCGGCTTGTGTGCGGTTGCTCGGCCATGGAAACCCATTTCATGAAGCTCCCAACTAACAGTTCTTGTGCCGACATTGCTTCCAGAGGCAGTTTGGAACTCCATAGCGAGTGTTGCATCTGAGGACAGACGCAGCTCTAGCAGGGCAGAAAGTTGACCAACTGACTTGTTGGAAAGGTGGCATCCTATGACAGTGCCACGTTGAAAGTCACTGAGCTCTTCAGTAAGGCCATTCTACTGCAAATGTTTGTCTATGGAGATTGCATGGCGGTGTGCTGTATTTTATCCACCTATCAGCAATGGGTTTGGCTGAAATAGCAGAATCCTCTAATTTGAAGGGGTGTCCACATACTTTTGTATATATAGTGTATTTGAGAGACAACAAGCGCTCATTGTGCAAATATATTTATGTTTTCAATAAACACTGGAGACTAAATAAAGCTTACGTTGTCAACAATCTAAGCCAACCCCATCTGTTTTGCCCCATAGTTGCAAACGCCTCAGTTTTGTTGCTAAACAACCAACCGGTCTATTGAGGAGAGAAAAACAAATATCTAATATAAAACTAACTTTACCTGGGTGCTGAACCAACCATATTCCTACTGTCTCTCTAAACAGTTGGGTAAACAATACTTTCCAGTAGATATTTTGTCTCAAATTTCGAGCAGCTGAATGACAAACCGCACAGACCATTGGTAGAGTAAGTTTAAATGTAATTGTATTCAACATTCTGGCTTGTAAGGGACATTAACACGATTTTGCAGGCATACGTTTCAGGCTGTATATACCAATTGATTGTGTATAACAGCCTGCTTAATCAGACTACATTAACAGCATCCTGAATACACCGCTAGATGGGTGAAGAGGTTGATGGGAGATTGGAGGGATGGATAAATGGATGAAGGGAAGTTGGAGGGATTTATGGATAAAAAGAGGTCAGAGATGTTTATGGATGTCAGGTTTGAGGGGTTAATGGATGGATAGAGATTGGAGGGGTATGCTTGATGGATGACAAAACTTCAGCGTAACGTTACAGTAGAAAAAGTAGCTAGCTATGATATTAAAACTGAATATCAGAATATAGGCCAAGCAAACTAGCATAGACCTAGTGGAGTGTTCTTGATGAAACAAACACACTGATGATGTAATGTACAGCTTCAAATCATGTTTTAAGAGTAACCTAGCTAGCGAACGTTAGCTAGCTAATGTTGCTCTCATCATGGCATGTAATTTATTGATAATTAAATATATCAACAGTAATGCTTATTACTGTACCTAGCTTTGTGACAATTTCGAATACATTTAGCCCCACTGCTTAGTATTTGTTGCTAGCTAGCTAACTAGCTACATTTGACTCTTGCGTGGAAATATTGCATCACAAGCTATCTGTTTTGTCACATCGCCCCTAGCTAGATATAGCTAGCTAGCCGGTTAGCTAGCAAGCTACCTTGGTTGGCATGCAACAACAAAGATGCAGATGGCTGCGTAACGTTAACTAGCTAACTAAAATTAACTAGCTACTTACCAAATCCTCTAGTACCTATAGCTATAACGTTAGTGATCTGTGGCATGTAAACAAACTGCTAACTTATTGGTTAAAAAGCTAGCTAGAATCTGAAAAACAGAGTGGTGGGGTACTGTGAATGAAACGCCGACGTCAGTGCCTTCACCACTGTCAAGGGAGTAGCGTTAGCGCTGAGAAGCAATAGGCGGTTCGTCTTCAAAGTAAAAGTACCACATTGAAACCAATGATGTATTACAACCATTGTCTTACGTCAGATAGCCTGCACTGAGAAGGCTGATGACTAATTTCATGGGTGATAGCCTGCACTGAGAAGGCTGATGACTCATTTCATGGGCGCACAATCCATAGGTAAAGCTGTACAGTGCATATAGGTATGCCCCCAATGCAATTACGCAGTCTAATACATCCACAGTGGGATTTCAACGGATTTTTACTGTTTATTTTCCAACCTTGCTTAGCATTATTCAGTCCAATTATGGACTTGATTCCACTATTTATTTTTCGTTTGCATCAGTTTCAATGCGGAGCTTTTATTTTAAAGGCGAACCACCGTTCCACTATTGTTGTTCACTTCCCAGTAGTAGAGCCTATGAGGATGTCTTAACTTTTGGTATGGTAAGGAGAAAACCTTTTTTTTTTTTAAATAAAGACGGCAATATCAATAATTATTTCAAAATATATTTACATTTCATCAATAGCCACTTTGATTAACTTTTAATAAATAATTAATGACCAAAAAAACGATGGTTTAAAAAAACAGACATTTTAAGACCAATAATGAAAAATACAATGTTGAGACTGGTATGTTCAGAATATTGGTCTGTAAATGAAAAGAAAGTACTTTGTGCCAAAGTAAAAGTAATATTCAAAGTACTCAGTAGGGTCTGTGGCACAGATGCAGCGGCAGGATTTGAATGGGCGATCATGTTACCATGGTAAACGGATACCCTCCATTTGAATGCAAATGCTATCATTTGCATTCTGAAATATCTGAAGAAAGCATCGCTGCCAGTGTGCAGCTGGTGGCTGTATTCGTAGCGTAGGCTACTGTGGTCCACTGCGCCTGTTCGCGAATCATGTGGAGGAGGCTACAGCGTATATCAAGGGAATTATTATGTGGAATATAATCAAAGGACATAGGGGTTGATACATTTCACGTTATGGCAAATCAAGTCTGACATTTTAAAGCGGAAATTACAAACTATAGAATCTTTATAAAGCCTAGAATACACTACAAGGTTGCCTAGCATTGGTGCTCCTACAAACAGCCTCCTATAGCCTAGTGGATCAATGAAATCAGGCTGGTTTAGACTCTAAATAATTAGCTAACTTGTTAGTAATGCAGTAGTATAAAGCTGTCATTTACAATCAACAATGTAGTTATTAACACAAGTGGTGGGATTTTCATTTAGCCAACAAGTAACAGAGCGAATGTTTAGTCAATTCACACTTTTCTGGCAATGTAATGTTGCTTTACTGGTGATTAGTTGGCCAAAATTAGGCTACATGAAAAGTTATCAAAATATATTAGCAGCATTACATCCAGGTGTTTTGGCTGACTAAGGCTGTGCGCTTTTGCGGATGACAGACAGCAGTATCACGCAAACATG